TTTCGGCTTCGCCGACGACACAAACGTTGAACCATAGAAGGCAGCTTAAATCGAGGTTTTAGAGATGCTCTGTGTAATATAAAAGTGTCTTTAATGGTGTAGCCACCTACTCAAGCCATTTTTGGATTCTCGTCTCTCGTGTGGTAGCCTCTCGACCCTTGAATTTCCGGATTCGTTTCAAAAACTTCCAGCCTCTCAAAGAGCCACCGCGTGTTTTAAACTTTTGCATTTTTGACTATCACCTTCGGCTTTACCACGTCTTTATGTCCTCCATATGTCATTTTATCCAACAATCTATTTAACCACCTATTTATCCAACCCTCTTTCCATCCCATACTCGTCCACCTATGCAGCCATCTGTCCGCCTGTCCGTGGATTCAAAGGGTGTCTATTTTATTTACCCACAACTTGTATCCATCCGTGTGATCACTCCTCCACCCATCCACCCACCTGTACGTCCGCTTACCCTAACTCATCTAGCCTTCCAACCTTCAATTTCCAGACAATTTTTATCCCGTTTATCCACGCTGTATTGCTCCAAATGTTCCTCCTCCGGTCACGCCTTTACCCGTTCCATTTACATAAATTCGACCATCTTACATCCACCATGCCCTCCCAAATTCCTCTTTCGTCCGCCCGTTCATTCTACTTCTATTTTTACTCCTCCCATACTCATCTCTTCCATCCACCGGTGCTGTAATCGCGCTACCCTTTCTACACATTAATTGCATCTCCTTCCAATCAGTCCTTAACCCTCCCTCCCTCCCTCCCTCTACCCATTCATCTCACATTCCTTTCCTTCCCCTTCCCTTCCACCATTCATCTTGTTATCGCCACCATTTTTTCCCCAATCATCATCCGGGGAGTGATAGTTTCGGTCCGTACCTGTCCGTTCCTCTTGTGCCTTTCGGTCTCTTCGATGTCGATCTAAGCACCCATTTGCTGCATTGTTCACTTTATAATCATCCATTTCCTCACCCATTCATCCCGAGCTCGTAGGGAGTTAAAGAGAAGGGAGCGGGAGAGGTGCACTTTTTCCTTACTTGGTGGTATTTCATTCCCCTGTCATTGGCGTTGCAATCGTGGTAGTAAAGAAAAGAGCCCCTTCATTTTTTGTAAATATCAAAAGAAGGCATAATGCTAGACAAGAATCAACAAAACGGGACTTGCTATCAGTAGGTCTAAAAAAGAGTGTTTGCGTTACCTTTGTCTTCAACATCGCCGCCATTTTTATCCCCTTGCCTTTGTGTTCTTGCCGCCTTGGGATGGTCGAAGGACCAACTGGAAGCAGAGGTTCTCTCAATCCTCCCTCACTTGCTGGTACGTCCTCATCCCCTTGTTTAAGGTTCTTTTATTTCGACTGAGGGAATAGAAAGGTCAGAGGTATAAGAGTTGTGACTGTTGGTACTTTGGTCTGTCCTCGGACGCCGTTGCGGTGGCCATTGGACCTTTGGTGAATGAGCACACTGTCAGGCCACGCTTAAAGCCTACAACCCCTTCGCCTTTTCCTAAATGTAAGTACTCTTCTCACATTATACGTCTACTGTAACGCTTAGGGAAGTGTCAAGACCCCACGTGGAGAAAATCAGAAGGAGAACCCGACTTTATATCGACATCCGCCCCTCTTCACACCATTTTTGATAACCAAAGACGGTGGCATTGAAATGTAGTCGGTGTGAGTGAGAAAATCGCAGATTACTCTGAAACATGAGGGCTAAGAATGATGTCCGTTTTTGACGAGAACCGCATTTTCCGGTTCCGCAGAAAAGCGGTGCAGATGACTGCTCTGCCATGTCTGCATATGAACATCGATGAGGTGAGTTTTCCCGCCACCCTATCCACACATCTAGTCATGGCAATGCATTCCAGTCAGTCAATTTTCACTCTCAAATCCCATTTCTCAAGACGGATAGACCTTATATCCTGTTGCAGCTGGTAGGATTAAGTACCTTTCCTCAGTTACAGAGGCGATGTGTTTCACGAGGGAGTTTTACCACGACTATCGTCAGGTACGTCGCTCAGCAGAAGTGATGGACCAGATAGTGCTTTCGAGCTATACCAAATTGTCTGATCCCCTTTCCATTTGCCAAATGTGCGTAGTCAAGACAAGTACTACAGCCTCTCTGACCAAGTAAAAGGTGTTGGCGCACCAAAGTGCCGCCTCCTAGGGGCATGGAATCTGAACCACATTTTTTAGCGAGCCATTTCGTATCCAACCCCGAGGTAAATACACAATTTACGTGTTTTAATGAATGTTTTAGTGGAGGGAATAAGGCATCATTCTTTAAGCAATTCTTCCCTCTCCGGATGTACTGTGCGGTCTGTGTGCGGGTGGAGCATGTCCAAAGTCTAATGGAAAACCAGGCTAAAAATACCAACTACTTTACGGCCCGACGGTTGGGTGGAAAGCCTGCGATTAGAAATGCACAGTTACTGACAGACGCCCACCGACAACACAATTTACTCCACATGGCGTATTTTTAGCAACTTCATTTCAGACATTACATTGGGAAGTAGTTCGTTAGGAATATGGGGAAACAACAATAATCGCACCTGGGCGAAGTGAAATCACCTTTGAGACGTCCTATTAACTCGATTACCACACCGTAACTTTGAAAAACATCGTGCTCTCGACTGAACGGGCTGGCATTTTGGATGATGCCAAGGTGGCACGTCTTCCCCCTCTTCTCTGAATAGAGGATTTCATTGTAGTCTTGCGTCTACTACCACTACTGAAGGAGAAGTTTAAGAATGCTACACGAGTGACATCGGTTGGTAACTTCCACTATGCAACGACTTACAGCTCGGTTTCCACCATTGTGCACCACTTACCGCGTCCGTGCATAGAAGTTGACGTTGACATAACACTGAATACCTCCCTATTCGGGGCTGCGTTTGGTCTCTTTTGCCCGCCACGCATCAGTCCCAATTCACTGTCTCATATCTGACCCAAATCACATTTGATGGTCAACCGAAGTTCACTAACCCTTTTCCTTTTTTTAGGCCATAAGTTTGTAATACTTTGTTGTGTGACCGCCCGAATATCTAGTGGTCGCTTTGGTGCTCCTCGGGCCATTTTACGCCTGGGCTGCTCTTCACGCCATGCTCAGGTTAAATTCCTTTTTCCCTCCTAGTATACATGCATTCAGTCCAACTTAAAAGTACGCCACATTTCTAGCCACTTCTACCCCAACATCCACCGTTTGTGGCACATGTCTACGGTGTGGAGGCGGCGGAAGAAGAATCGTTGGTTTCTTTACCAAAAAAGAGCTGTTAATGATGTCTGCGGTCAGCTCCAACTTGACCCTGCGTTTCTCAAACAAGCTGTTAATAACTCAGGCAACAGCATCGTAAACTGCATGGAGAAGTTTAGCATCGCACTTCTCATTGCCACATTCAAGCATAGTTGGTGAAAATAATACAACATTGGAGCACCATGCATACAAGACTGAGTTTAATCCTGTCTTCACTGCTAAGCATCTCTTTTGGACCAGCGTGGCAATGTTTAGCCCTGGACACAGTCGATGGTCAGCAAGTGTGTACGGTCCCAAATCTGACCGTCAGGCCTAGAGTAAGTCCATATCCAGTTAAGGATGCTGAAGCGACCAAGAGCTACTGCTTAACCTTATTGTAGCTGCTGGTTAACGAAGCTGACTCGTGGCTTCTTCCTCGCAGTAGCAAATATGTTGTGATGGTTGGCGCAAGAGGTATGCTGGGATAAGCGTCGAGGAAGTGGCCCAAAAATGATTGGAGCAGTGTAATGCATTGCTTTGGTGATCACCACATGTGTGGCGTTTTTCTGTGGTATTCGAATGGTCATTGTGCGCAAAAGCTAACCTTCGGGCCAGGCTCAGGCTTAATCCATTTGATCCTCCAAGAATGCGTGTATTAAGCACAAGCTGATGCCTTCATCCACCCAACGGGAAGTCTTGGAATGCTACAAATAACCCCCGATTCGGGTGGCGCTGACGGTGTGTCAATTGCTTCATCGTAGTCGGACGGACTGTTTCGACAATGTTTTCTTGCAGCATCAGAACCATTATGTTGAAAGTAGTGCAAGAGGCATCCCGTTAAACATTTTTTGACCATGTACATATTTGGTGGTCACAATACTGCTTAGTAGTTTGGGATGGAGTTCGGAAAGTGCCAAAGCTCCACTTAATTGCATTCATTTCAAGCACTACTCTTTAGCCACGCTTAATGCTTCCTTCTTCAAATTAGGCTCGAGGATGTAGCATCCCGAGACTTCCTGCATAGTGAAAGAAGGCAGTGAGTGTGGCTGGGTACACGTTTTCCGAAGGAAACAGAGCAAATGGCTATGGGCATGGCCTGAAGGCCAACCCACGAGTACAAGGGTCAAGCAAATCCTAAAGTGACCTCCTAACATCATGTGGTCGCATAAACAAAGTATTACAGAAAAGAAGAAGTTTAGAGGGGATGTCTCTTATTTTACTAATCCAAGAAGCGAAACTCCTGATTCAGAACCGACTAAATATTAAGATTTTACCTAAGAGCCTTGTAAAAGGACTTACAGCCGTAATATTGTTGCGGAATAGACGTGCACCTGACTGCGTTCATCTGGATTGGACTCCAAGGAGTGATAAATAAAGCATAGGGAACTTCATCACACATCCCACTTCCCTTTTGCTTTATTAATGCATATTGCCAAAAAATTCTTGTAGTGCTAATGAAACGACTTTAAGACGCAAGATCACATTGTCGAAAACTCTTTTGACATAATATATACTAAATATTTCCGTAAATACAAAAAAAGCTAAAAAGTAGAATCTGGGAACTTTTGTATATAGCTTTATTTACAATGTGTTTGCGTTTCGCTCTGCCACAACTCATGATATCCTAATGATCGCTTCGGTTAAATTTCAGATCAAAATTGTTTTACTTACTGCGTAAACTTATCGGACGAATTATATTAAACCGCTTATTGTGAACGAGTCTGTGGATGTCCTCTTCTGTAAACATCGAATGCTTTTCCGTTTCCTATGGGTGAATATAAAGTTCCGCATTTTGAAAAGTCCCTTGACTCTAATGCCGATTGGATTAGGCTCAAAGTTGAACGCGAGGGCACACAGGCCCGCAATATTGTAAAGTACAATTTGCCATTTTCTGGGTCACATGAGGGTATGCTTAACACCTTATTAGCTTACAGGGTTTTATAACAGACTCTGACCGTTTGTCACTATCGAAGCGTCACTATGTTAACTACATATCAGGGTCAAGAGCATCGTCAGCTGGAAATTCGTGCAGTACGAAGAGTCAAGTCAACGTGAGTTCTGATCGATCATCTGTTTCTTCCCGGGAAACTTCACAACGAGGTCGAACTCGGAGACGACAGGACTATCACGCTCTCTACTGGGGTCAAATGCTGGACACTTTGAAACGAACAATCGATGAGATCTATGCTGCTTGTGAGCTGGACGAATGTGAGATGCGATGCAAGGAGGTGATCATGATCCTACACCATAGCGAACAGGATTTCAAGTCGCTGATTGAGAAGATGTCTTTGCTTCAACGATTTGGAAATAGGTGGGCTTGAATCCCGCTTTTTATACATTAGTACATTTAAAGGGGTTAGGATGTAAAGACGTACTTCCAGCCATTCCTATGAATATTTGTTTAGCATGTACGATAAGTTTTGCCCGGTGATTTTTTCAACTTTTTTCTCGTTTCGATAAGACTATGTGATTAGCATGGTGTTTCCTGATTCCATCCACTGTTTCATTCGACAGCGTTGGTTCGACCTTGTGGATTGTTGGCTTGATTTCTAAGCATACCAACTTTTGGTAACAGGATCAACAGCTCATTTGATCTGGTAGTAGTGGCAGCGATCTTAAGCCATTCATTGCGTCAAAAATTTTTTTAATAAAATTAATAATGGTTGCAGCTGCTGTAGTATCAGGACGTGTGTCTAAATCTTCGATTACTTGTCACGTTCAGGTGAAAACCTTGCTGGCATTCGATTCATGTTTGTTTTTCCGCCGATTACCCTACACAGTTTTATGTTAATGGCCCTGGGCATGTATATGTGTCGATTCTATTTTATGGTCATTTACAAAATTGTCTGAGTGACGCCATACCTATGAAGACAGAAGAGCCCATGGATGTATTTAGATATCAAAGGTTAGTGCAGCACAGTATATCACTTCTGCAACGCTGCGAGAAAGTCTTGGTCTATTCAAATGGTAGAAGAGTACTCTGTAGGTTTCAAACGACTTAAACAGACTATGAGTTCATCCTCTCATCGATCTTGTGCATTATCATCAAATTGTTTGCCTTTTCTCGTACCACGACCTTTAACGTGTTAAAGAGATGTTTCTGCTTTGGCATTCTTCTTGTAAGTCGTCCTCTATACGGGTTCAAAAAGTAGTTTTATTCTTTCGTGTTGGTGTTCATATTGAACACCCGTCTTTTAGTCTCCGACTCACGTCACTGAAGTCTCAATGGAAGATTCCTACTAGTGCTTCTGAATCCTCTTTGGGTTGGGCACTTCGCTTTCTTGTTCACTTCTTTCTGATTGTCAGGATTTGAAGTGTTGGCTGATTGTTAACGTGCTGAGTAAATGTTAGCAAAATCCGTTTGTGGACTGGGAGCGAAGTTGCCGAAATTACGATCACCCACCATCTTACCTACGGACTTGCAGTCGCCCGCAAATGCAACCTCTTGTTCATAGGGTAGTCCTTCCTCCACCAGCTGCTGTTTCGCACCCTTGCGCACGGCTCGCCGCTATTGTCCGCCCTCGTGATTAATGTTGTCTGGATTAGCCTTGGCGCCACTTCAACGGCTAATCCTGAAGTGTCGCCCTAACGTAATCCAATTTCATTAGTGAAAAGCTCACAACTTCCGCCTCGAAATTCAGTGCTTTCATTGGCACAGTTTTTTGTGAAATCTTGTTCATTCGTGTGCGAGCCTTGAAGCAATAAGGCTGTGCTTAGATTCAGGTAATTAAGGGTTAAGTATATGGCGACTCCACCAATTAACTGCTCGGATTAAAATATCTAGACAACTTCAGTAGGCGTTTGCTTATTTCTAATAAGTAGCACCAGGTTGATTTTGCAGCCGAGAAAATTAGTTTTTGCACTTTTCACCTAATCTTGAACAATTGAGACACATTTTTAGGCTAGAATCCTTTGCGTTCCATCCGTTTCATGGTAGTGTCATTAGGACCGAACAATGGTGGTAAGCCTGTTGTATTTCAGGGAGTTGTGAGTGATCTGCTAGTGCGGCGTCTTCTGAAGGTGGATTAATCACCTTTAGGAAGTGTAATTCGAGCATTACGCTTGACTTCTCCAAATGTACATGTTGTACCCAGAATGCTTTGTGCTGGTGATATTTTGCCGGACAATATCGAGATCTTCTGACTCAGTTCCTCTTGATCTCTTAGGTATCGGTTTTGGTATTTCTTGTGGTAGTTCCTCTGATCCACTTGTTTTTCAATGAGTTGCAAGTCTAGAAAACTGCAGGGTGCCACTGATTTCACTACTGGAAATACATTCTTGATTGTTATTACAATGTGTTTTGCAGGGAGGGAAAGCGTTTTCGAAAACATTGCTAAAGGCTAGTTGGCGTGGATTCCATTTGAAAATGCCGTTCGATACTTTTAGGCCTACTAGCCTCGCTTGGGACGAACGGAAGATATCACCTGGGAGACCAATCATGCTTAGAGTTCTCGCTGACCTTGATCTCTCCTCGCCTACCCTTACACCACCTACCTCTGCTGCGGCTGTATCTGCTCTTGCCTGGGGCTCTGATGAAGAAGATCTTCTAAATGATGTTGACGAGGAAGATGTGGAGGGAGAAGAAACTCACTTCGACGCAGCGATTAAATCTGTGGCTTCCACCGAACGTCTTCTGCGAAGTGAACTGGGGCGGGAGGAGGCTTCATTGCTACAGCTGGGTGGCACCAATAGCAGCAAGTCTTCCACTACTGCTACTGACGTCAATGCTACTCCGTTTGTCTGCTACGCCTGTGCTGGAGAAACCCAACGGCGATCGGTGGCTGTGGCAACAGACGGAGGGGGCGGAGATATTCTGAGTAGTATTGGTGTAGCGGGCGATCTTCTGGCGGCTGGCAAGCCAAGAATTCCTGGTAGAGGAGTGCAAATGCATGAAAAGCTCCTGGCGCAAAATCGGAGCAGGTAGATTTGCTTGTCAAAAGTCCTGCACTTTTCTGTTGATTTCACTCCCCCTCGATCCGTTGATAGGTGTGAACGATCCATCCAGGAAATTGAGGCCAAACAAGCAAGAGCGAGATTTTTGCGCCAAAGGCATCTGTTGGAACGATCTAATAGAGTGCGCGAACTCAGTAAGAAGGTGAATAATCATTTTATTTTTCTCTAGGATTTTTTAATTCGACTGAGGTGCCACTGATATGAAACTTTAGTGGTATCGTCATTCAAAAGGCGGCAGTGGAGCATCTTACGTCTAACTTTCGAAACTGACTAAAATACGGTGTTTAAATCCATTCTTAAGGCGTGTTCCACTAAATCTTTGGATTTTTATGAACAAACCAGCATTGTCGTAAACCCACTCTAGAGCTATAGTCTGGTTCTGTGCAGATAGGTGATCAAAGGTACTAAGATTTTCATTAAATCAGGTCGGAGTGGTTGGTAGTATTCAGACCTCTTTAGGTGATGCTGGCGGTCAATGGGCTGCTAAATTTTACCTCGCTTTTGTAGTGTCATTAATGCCCCAGAATCTGTGCTCTCAAATCCGCCTACCTATGCAACTGTCATAGCACAACACCAAGTTGCTGGTTGGGTTTTTTTCATGCTATCATTTGCTTGATTTTCATAGTGGTTTTTAAGTTGGTGAACAGATGTCGTCATCTTTTACGCCTTATGCTCATCTATTTTCTTGCTACTAATTTTGAGTTGTAGTAGTATTGGTGGCGTAACGAGAAGTCTGTCGCAAGTTTAAACAAATTGCGTTCCCCACTTCGTTTTCTTGCAATTCCACAACCGTCTCCATCGTTAAGTCGGTCATTAACCTTAAAGTCTGACCGCGCTACTCATATACGATTTAAGTACTATATCGTTGTTTTTATCAATGATTAAAACTGCCTTTTGATGACATTTGCTGCATCACAGTTTTTGTCAAAAGTAAGTTTAATAACGTCACATTACGCTAACCTAACTAATGCTTCTAACGTCAAATTATTGTCGTCAACGCCTTTATTCTGACTTAATCCAGGTGGAGGAGGTTCGGAAGCAGAAACTTCGGCTGATTCAACAGCGTCGCAACTTCCTTGAGCAGCGTCTCCTCGTAGCTGATGCTAACCGGCGGGCTGAATTGAAGCGTCGCATCTTGAAAGCGCATGATGAGGAGATCAAGGGTCGAGAAATTGCATTTATTCAGGTGCTTCTTGCTATCTTTCTCTGTAAGAGTCGTTATTCTTTCATGGTCCAAGTAATTATTATGCTTACTCCAAGGTAACTGCCAGATTTGTAGTCCGCCTTATACCAAGTGGCGCCTGAGGGGTCAATTTAGTATCACCTTATCATACGCCTTTCCTTTTAGAGTTTGGAAGCAGAGCAAAAGCAGCACACAATCTTTGCGAAACATGAAATTTCTTGCGCAAGGTTGAGAGAACGAGCTGAACTTCGTCGTAGGCGCTTGGAAGAGAAGGCAGAAAGAGAGGAAGCTGCCAAGGTATCAATCGAACTTCGCTTCATTTCTTTCGGCTATTTCTTTCTCCCCGGTAGTTCAGGAAAGGTGGGAAAGTTAGTGAACAAATCTTCCACCTTAGTCCCTGCCTTATGGTTGACGTATTCACTTTCCCAGGACTGTTTCATCGTGCAGTTTACTGAGGCACAAATGGATAACATTGTATCTCGTTTTGTGCAATGGTTGTCAAGGTCACACAAGTTACTGAAATGTGTTTATTGTAGCTTCGACGAATCGAGCTGGAGGCGCTTCGTTTGGCTCGTTTAGACGAGCTTCAGGCGCGCTGGATATCTCGAGCGCATGAAATTGAAATGAGGGGTGAACAGACCCGATTGGTGCGACGTGCGGCGGCGCGAGAGCGAGAATTGCATCGTGAAATGAAACTGGCCAGTTTGGAGCAACAGCAGCGCCAACATATTGAGGAGTTGAGGTCCAAAATCTTGCGCAAAGTGAGTTCCTTTTACGTCCTTCTTAGTCGGTAGTTCTTTTCAGGAAGCCTTTTTGAGGAACATGGCTGCGTGTAGTAAGAAGCCAGTCAATTGCGTTGGTTATCGGCAGCTCTTTAACGAATCGATCATCGAAACATACAAAAATTATGTTGCTAATCATCCTTAGAACAGCCCAATTCTACACCTAATTCTCAATCAGTTTGGGCACCTTGACTTACTGTGATGAACATCCGTCACCCACCGGGAATGTAGGAGTTGAGCAGGTCCTCCACTGTTGCAAGGTGTTGTGCGGCAACTCTTTGGAGCAATTTTCATTCGCCAAACTGGGGATTTGGTTTTTATTTGGTTTGTAGAGCAGGTAACTCTCAGTCACATCTCCCATGTTATCCCCCTACTCAGTGGAATGGGTTCATCTGTTTAGGCATCCATCCATCCGTCCATGTGCCACCAGTCAGACTGATTGAGGCAGTGTGGACCAAACGTGAGTAGGAGGATCTACTTTTAATTTATGGATGATCCTGTAAAGGTTGAGTCAAGGATCAGTCTATGAATAAGCAGATTGAGGATGAAGGTTTAGTTGATGAGTGCTACACAAATGTGCTGCTTCGCGTCCCCGATAGCATCCCCATGTTCGTTCGTTCAAGACCTTTCTCGTAAGCAGTCATATTTGATTTTACCTTAGCAACTCGAATGCGAACGCCGACACCAGGAGACCCTGAGCGGCATTCGACGCAAAGCCCTCGAGATGTCCGCTCCACAACATGACGCAGCTACCACCGCCTTATCACGACATCCACAACACAACCAGCGTGGTTGGTGTCGTCTCTGTCATGTCGAGGTGGACTCCGTCTCGCATTTCGAGTCACGAGGACACCGAAATACTCTACTCACCTCCCTACCAGCCTGTCTCCGCCGTAGTGATAGGTGGGACATTGATCGCCTCAACGCGGCGTGTTTTGTTGAATTGCCAGCTTTATTGAAGGATCAGGAAGCTGCGGATGAGAAGGAGCATCTTCGACGCCAACGCAAGGCAGCTGAAGTGGAACATCAGAAACTGCTTGCCAAACGACTGGATGCTGTGCGTCAACGAATGAATGCGAGGTTGCGCCTTACTTGGACTGTAGTGACAGCCCTCTTACTGGATAAAATAAGTCATATGGTTTCCTTTTTTGCTTCAGAAGTCTTCTTTATCGCAAGGCGCCGCTCGTGGATGCCAAGTTGGCCCCTCCTTGTCCACAAAAAGCGCAGTAAGTAGTTGAGGATGCCTTTCATTTCCACATCTTTGTAGACTTCAAAAACTGGTCAAGGAGGCGCGAAGATACTGCAATTTACCAGAGTCAGGACCATGGGTGGCGTCGCGTGTTGCGGCTATGGAGAAAGCCCTTCGTGGTATTCGCCGATTGGTCAGTGATGAGGTCAGTCGTCGGTCCATGTCACATTTGAGTTGTATGTGACTTGGTCTGGTGAACCAGAGTAAAATCGGATTGTTCCATTTTCATTTGCTCTTTTTGTCTGTAGACATCCCTCCTGTGCTGCTATCACCTGGACTTGACATCGGTTCTCGTTAACTTAATTGATTTGACGCGTTGTCAGCGCTACTTCGATTTTCCTGTCATTCCTACTAGGTAAGAGATTTTTCATTCGTTTTCCCTTAATCAGGTGGAATTTTGTGTAATATGATAGTTTGTTTATTTATCTATTTCCTCTGAGAATAGGACTGTCGCTTTGGCATGCGAATTATTGATCACATTCTGCCAAAAGGTCTCTCTCTGTTCCTGGCACCTTCTTTTCAACTGTGATTTAGCTCTCCTCATTGATTGTCTGGCCGTGAAGTTGAGTGTGAGTGAATTGCTCGCGAATTTTATGAGTTTTTCACACTCATCTTCATTAATTTTTATTTTGCATTCAGCATCTGGAGGCCATGGAACTATGGGCGGATGTTAAGCAACCACAGTGTCCAAAAGTTGACGGCAAGCCATCTGAAGAAGTAGATTTTGTCTGTTCTCTCTTCTCCTGCTTTCTTGTTGTGAGTCATGGCCTAAAATCGACTCCACCGGTTTTTCCTACCACTGCGGTTGCCACCACCTCAAAGAAAGCATCAAATGTTACCGCTGCCTCCCTGTCGGTTAGTTTTCCTCTTGTTTGGTACAATTTTCAAAATATGAGCTGCTCATTTATTAAAACTAATCCTTTCCTAATTTTGATGCAGGACTTCGTTGCTTACGCAGTAAATTCCGGTCTGATGGAGGTTTTAACAAGTTTCCTTTCCTTACCGAACTTAAGTTCTCAATTAGCTTATCCGCTGGACTCCAACAACCCTGAACTAGTTGGTAGAGGACCAGAAATAGCTCTCCAAAGCCTCCATCTTCTCACTGCTCTTGTTCGTATCATACCCTCTTCAAAGGCAAAACGCGTGGACAAAGCGAAAGGGTGAGATTGATAGCCCTCTATTCGACATCATTAATTTTTACCTCTAATTCAAAGTTTGGTTCTTTTTCTTTTAGTTTAACCGATGTCGTCGATGATTCGACATTCTTTTTTGATGAGATTGCGGCTACCGAGGTTTTCGGTGTTGTTTCATTGCTCTATGATACCCTCCAGATTTTGACCAATCATCGTACAAGTGATTGTCATGATAGTAGTGAAGCGATTGGTCAGAAATTTTCACTTAACTCGCAATTGGCTGAAATCTTTTTAAACGCGTTAAAACTTATTAACTTCGCGTCGCTGGTGAATTTACCGAAAATTCAGGTTAGCGTTTGCGAAAAGCGTAGTGTTGAAGTTTTCTATGTTTTATACGAAATCTCTGCGTATCAACTTTATTTCTGCATTATTTTGGTGGATTGTTTAACACTATCAACTTATGCTTATTTCTTCTAATAAAAACGTTGTAGGCACTCATTACTTTTATGATTTGGTCTCCATGAGCAGACGCTAATCGTTTTGCTATTCGATTTTTGTGAGTAGACATTATTAGTGGGCAATTCACGGACGAGCCACAATGGTGGGAGTTAAAAAGTGTAAAATCACTCCGACCGTATGGGTTTTGTTGAGCACCTACAAAGCCTTTTTGTATATATAATCATTGGATGCTTCAAGTAGGTATAAAACCTCCGATACCCGTTAAGGCAAATCATTGTTGGTGGTGGCGAGTAGGAAACGCACGCGGCATTCATTTTTGGCGTGCCTTCATCGAGGTTCTCAGCTGTCAGATTGAGTTTCTAGGACTGTTGATTCGTTTATGAATTTTATGTATCTGCAAAATCTGTATTCTTATGCACTCCATTTTCTTCATTTTTACTCGATATTTGATTACTCATATCTTAACGATACCAGACCGAAAAGTTAACTTTGGGCTCTCTTTAATTCATTTGTAATTTTTCCAGGAAATTGTTAGTAATAATGCAACGTCTATACAAATTCGTCATATTCTGGGTATCCTTTTCTCTGCCTGTTCGCCGAAAGAAGAGGAGTCCGAGATAGAAAAAAGTGTGTCCTCCCCTGCTCCCCTCGCAATCCCTAATAAAGTCGCTACGCCAGCTTCGGGCGGCTGTTTGGCGGGCAAAAGACGTCGAAATGCATCCGCACTTATTCCCAGCGGTGCCAAGGAGGTTGGAGTTAAAATTACACCGAAAGTGGAGCCTCCATCATCGAATTTACCATCACCATCTAAGGCGTTGCAAATGCGGTGTACCACACCTCCTAACCGGTGCGTTGTCTACGTTGTGTATTTCATCTTTTATTGAATTGCAATTGAGTCTTTTGTTTTGTCCTCTAGTGACGGCTCTCACCAAATTCTGATACTGCACGAAGCAATCATATGCTTGGGCTATCTGACTTTGGGCCACCCTGATAATCAGACGCGTTTATGTGTCAATGGCCAGTCTGTGACACCACTGCTTCTACAGCTGTGTCAACTTCCATTGAATTACTTCTCCCAACCTGTGTTGGCGGACATCTTGTTTCCTACATTGATAGCCTGTTGTTTCCCTCCTAAAGGTGGGGATGATAGCGGTACCAACACAGCCCTCCTCGCTGTCCATTTGAATCCGGCCCTGCTTGCAAACTTCATCGAGGTGCGGTCTTCTTCTCTGATATGCTTTTTTTGTTCTGAAGCTAATTGATAACTTAAGTGTAAAGTTGGTGACATGTCTACCTAGTTTACTGGGTGAAACTGAGCATTTGATTCCTGTGCAATTTCGCCGTCATGGTTTGTTTGCCAAAAGCAAATTACTTACAGTTTATTAATAGTAGCAAATCTGCATCATACGGTGCTGACAGTTTTAGAATCGAAGTGTAAAACATCTGATCGGTTCCATCCATTTATCTGTTTAATCAACCACTGCTCCGTCTTGATAATTTCTTGACTTATTTGGGAGAGCTTAATGCAGCCTAGCATCTCGGTAGTTGCTTACGTTATGCTTGTTAAGGGCAATTCATTTTGATTTCAATCATCCCACGGCTAAGCAGCACCATTGCTGTCCTCCTTTCTAACCATAAAGTGGGAAATTCGAACATTTGTTTCTAGCACCAACTTCTGTTCTGTTGTTGTAGCTCTCACATTTGACGAAGAGTATTTGAGTACTCTTCATTCTAATTAGGTTATTTTTATTTTGTTAAACGTTTGCAAAATATTTCGTTCGAATTGTTAACAGTGGTGATTAACTCGATCCTCCATATGCCTAGGGTGTTACCACTCAGTTCTTTGCATTGCCTCGATTTTTTCGTCGAATTGAAACAGCCGTCTCATTGCTTGACTGGTGATGAGGTTGACGGGTTTCGTTCAAATTCATTCGTATTTCCACGGGTTTGAAAGTGTGCATCGGTTTTCAAATCATTAGCGATGGCGCTGTTCATTCTTTCCTTTAAAGTGACCGCCCTCAATTTGGGGCACTCGGCAAGATTAACCAATTGTGCCAATGCTACTTGCTGGTTTTCAGTAGCACCTCATGATACTGTCATTTGTCTATTGGTTAATCGAATTTCGTTAATCATACCACATTGCACTCAATAAGCATTGTAATGATGCTTATCATAATTTTAAACTGCAACTTATCTCGAGATTTGTAATATCCATTACATTTAATTTGCGTCACTTGAGAAGTATCCGATAGCAGTTCTCTCTCCCGTCTTGTAAAGTAACAGTTAACCCTAGTCTACCGCCGGCAACCGGTATTATTCGATTTCGAAGTTCGCGAACCTGCGTCTAGAGACGGCAGTCTAACAGTGAGGATAGTTCGATTCTTCGCCCCGGTTACACTTGTTGACGGTAACGCGTAAGTAATGCATGGTGCCTGTGAAGCCTTCCTACTCAATCAGAGCGCCACACACACGACAGTGACACAAGTGCCCTGTGCTTCGCCTCCTACGCCCTTCATTTTCATGGTTTAGCTCTAACCACAATTGTATGGATGCAAATGAAGCATCATCAGACCATCTGATCTATCATTTTCCATTTTCTGTCCAAATTAATCGATGATAGCATCACATTCCCTTCTTCACCTTCAACATTCTATGTCGATGTTAATTGGATGCCTTCAGGTAACCTCAACTTCATCCTTTTTTACACCACATAGGCCCGGATTTTAGAGAAGACTCTGGCCAAACCAATGGATGACAATTCCACTTCCAACCAAAGTAGGTCCTCCTTTCCCTAACTTCCGCCTCCTTTTAGCTGAAAATGGCGATGACTATCACCGATTCGAAAATCGCTTTCCTCCCTCCCTTTGGCCGGCAGCCAAGACATACTTCGCAGAGGCAAAAAACACTACCGAATAACTTTTTCATGTTCTTTTATTTATTTTTCTTTTTTCTTGGTCTAGTAGTAGTAAAGACGGTGCAGAATCAATCCCTTCACCTCTTCCGTCTAACTGTGCGCTTCGCCCTTCTGTCCAGCGACCTAAAAACACGTCACAAAGTGAGACTCTCAACTTTATGGTTGTGGTAGGATTAAGGAGTGAAATTTCTGTTGCTGTTAAGCACGATGACGAATCTAAGGGATCGTGAGCATAAGGCTCTAGCGATACGGTGGCGCGGTAGCCAAACCATTGACAGTGGAAAGTTCGAAATAGTTGTGATGAATATCAAATTACGCCTGAGTCAACCAAAGGCTAGATTCCACACCAACCACACTCTCATTTATTGAGGTAACTTAGTCGAGGGGGAGCGAGAACTCTTTTTGCCAAGTTCAACACTCTCGATTGGGTTGGGGAACCTCTCGAGACAACAGGACTATAGAGGAGACTGTTGTGGGTGTAGCAATTGACGTACCCGCTTAAACTCATTCATGTTGGTAACATTCTGCACCGGACAGCCGTAGAGAATAAGGTTTGTAATTCGAGTTTGTTCCACACCCTGTTGGTTGTCCTGAATGAAGATCTGGTGATTAAAATAAAACGATAATTAGGTCCGACTCTACAGAATGCTCTCCTCTCATCATAAACACGTATCGGAGATGACAACTAAATTGAGGGCATAAGCCTTTGGAAGGTCGAAGGCGCGTAGAACATCAGACCTAAACTATTGCTCGGCTCAGGGCAACGCTCCCATGTTCATCACTTTTATGCCCCGGTTTCCCCTTCTACCAAGGACGCGAGCATGTGGAAGAGAGGAGAAAGTGCTTGAGGGAAAAGGAAAATGCGGTGGAAAGGGTAGATAACCTCTTTTACACCTCTGGAAATGTAGATTTTCTCATACGAGGTTATGAGTGACCTCCTCATTGGTAATCGGTACTCTTGCGATCCACCCTACTAACACACACACACACACACACACACACACACACACACACACACAC